CAGTTCATTATTTTAGTGACAATTGTTTATTGTTATTTAAATAAAATTTGAATAATGGTCTTCAGTATTATCCAAAAAAGCAAACATCTTCTAGTAACTTTTACACTTGACTTTTGATTATAATTTTTTTGTGGATGGACTACATAGTAATGAATGAGTGGGAACTAACATGGTCCAGTAATATTGTATATAGCATTTTGCCAGTTTATTTAAGCCAATCAGCATAGGTCATGATTGAAAGAAGTTCTGAATAAAAATTTATAATTTATGAAAGGTTAACAATGTATTCACACACTTCAAATATAAAATGTAATGAACATTATATATTTGTGTATTCAATGTGTGGAAAGTATTGTTTATGGGAATTCACAATATACAAAGCCTTGTACTTGTGGAGTAAAAATTGATTTTAGAAGTTTTGTTTCACAGGAAATATTTTGAAGACGATTATATTCTTCTAATTAGAAAAAAAAAAGCTTCAGACAAATACTTTGAAATAGAAAGAATAATTGCAGTTAGGGTAGGGTTTACGATATTTAATGTCTTGTTTATTTGCAGTTAAATGCATACACAAAACAAAAAGTGGATAATACATTTAAAAAAATTCAAGTCTTTAAGTAGTTTAAACATTCTTTAATTTTTGACTGCATTTTCGTTAAAACACTGGATAGTTAATTTTATCACTTCTGCGACCAAAGTGAGTATAGGTGGTATCAAAATCATATGCTGATCCAGGGTAAAATCAATTGTCTGCCCAGTACTCCTCCTAGAGTACTGGAGAAATCTCGGTCAAATTTTGTATGTGACCTTGAGGGATCAAGACCAATCCATAAAGGTATAACATGACAGGAAAATTTCTTCCTAAATGTACAGGGAAGCCCAAAAGAAGTTAAACACCCAACAGTAGATTCAAACACTTGAGACAGTACCATAAAAAGACTAAAAAATGTTAAATAGCACATACACATTAAAGGGTGTAAGACAATACAGGGTCTACCCTGTATTGGTGAGTAAAAGTAGGGAATTTTCTAAACTAATAAAATTAGCAATCACTGAAAACAATTTAAGATAATCTGTATAAAAAATCAAAATACAAAACCGATAAAACATTATTAAATTGAACAAACTGTGAAAAACAATTTATAGAAACCTAATGATTACAAAGTTATCATTCCAATTATGCAGGGGAAGGTATGCAGTTTTGCATAAAATGAAAAAAAATTAGAAATTGTACATTTACTTAATTTTTAGCATGTAGTTACTGTCGTGAAAACTAGGTAGAAATATTAGGTCATCAAGTGTAGCCTATATAATGTGTAAAGTTTAGTATTATTTCTAATCCCTTATAGTGATGGCACACAATAAGACACACATGATGTAATGCTGTTTGAATACAAGAAGGGAAACAATGCCTCTGTAGCCACAAAGAATATCAAAGAGGTTTATGGAAATGTTTTGAACATTTGTAAGTGTCAATGATGGTTCAGCAAATTTCATTCAGATGACTTTAGCCTTAAAACCTGATGGCAGGGGTTGACAGGTTGGAATTGATATTGATGCTCTGAAGATGCTTGTTGAGTCTAACCCAAGGCAACACACTCATGAAATGGCCCTGAAATTGCATGTCTCTCTGCAAACAATACATAAAAATCTAAGGAATATGGGAAAACTACATAAAGAAGGTGTTTGGGTGCCTCACGAAATCTCCGATGATCATCATTTCCAACGTGTGAACGTTGCTTCATCTCTTCTGGCATGTAATGCCTGTGAACCATATTTGGACAGAATTGTCACTGGTGATGAAAAATGGATTCTCTATATGAATATTAAATGCCAAAAACAATGGCTCAATCCTAGACAAAAAACCACTTCCGACCCCAAAACCTGGACTCCATCCGCAGAAGGTGATGCTTTGCATTTGGTGGGACATAAAAGTACTAATTCATTTCAAATTCCTCCATCCACAGCGAACTGTTAATGCAGAGATTCGATAGTCAGCAACTGGAATCAGAAACACCCTTCACTCATCAATCAGAAAGGTGTTCTTTTTCTCCATGGCAATGCACATCCACGTGTGGCACGTTTGATACAACACGATTATGGAGTTGGGTTGGGAAGTTATCCCCCACCCACCACATTCTCCAGATATGGCACCATCAGATTACCATCTTTTTCGTTCTCTGCAACACCATCTTAATGGGAAAATATATGGAAATATAGAAGGTGTTAAAGAGGACATTGACATGTTTTTCTTTCAAAGCCAAGTGATTTCTTTAATCAGGGCATTAACAACCTTATTTTAAGATGGAAAAGCATCATCAATAAGAATGGAG